TTACGATTTGTAGAAAACTAATGAAAATACATATATAGCAATTAACTTAATAATAATTTTAAATGCTAATAAATACTTATACGAAACACTATGAGCAGCTAAAATATTGTCAGACCAAATAAAAAAAAGCAAAATTAATTTTTATATTTATAGCTTTAATAAAGACGTTTCTCAAATTTGTACAAAATCATCTTTTTGTCTGTATACAATTTAATTAAAGAAAAGTTTAATGCATTCTAATTAAGAAATAGTACTAAACTAATGATTTTATTTATTTATTTAATTTAAACTTGCAAGTTCATAAGCAGTAGTGTAAAATACATCATAATTTTAATACAAGTTACAGGTAATTAAGTAAATTAATATTTGAAAAAATCACACCCTTGGTTATGAAAGAAGCACAAAATGCATTGGGTAAAATATTTAATATACAACAAATAAAAAAATTTGAAGATTTTTTCATTCATCGATTCATAAAAATATGTATATGATCCTATTTTATATTTTCTTTGTCTGCTAATTAATAAAGCACACTGAAAATGTACACACCTTCTTTATAAATATTATGAAAAAAACGTAAACAAAAAGAAAGCAATAAACAACATGCCTTCTAGAACTAGAAAACTCTAGAAATTTTCTTATTGATTGCACTGTCAGCCAATGAAATCGTTATATTTAAAACGAACCAGTGAATTTTCTAGAAATAAGTAGCGAAACTATATAAACAGCTGCTTGGCAACTGCAAAACAGTATTGAAGTGACAGCGATTTGCGCAAATACAAAGTGCTCATTCGAAGCGATTTTTACAAATTTTACGCAGTGGTGTTTAAATTATTTGCATAAATAGAGGAAAGGAGGAAATAAAGGTAAGAATTTCAATAGACACATTGTGTATTTTTCTTCTTTTCTTTAAAATGAACGTGGTACTGTAACGCTGTCCATAGAAAAACATTTCGTATTTTTAATTTTTTGATTTACTTAATTCAAACGAAATTGTGAAAATGGATATTGATTAATTAAAGTTCATTTACAGACTTTCTTCTTGTTAAATCGATGCATTTGTTTTTTGAAAAGCCAACTACCTGTTTTATTTTTTAAAGTAGATCAATGGCCAATAAAAATAGTAAATACTATCATCATAAAAAGATCGTCCTAAGAAAGAAACGTTATTTTTAGAATAATTAATTAACAGAAAATTAATTTCACAGATGCCTGAAGAACAAGCAGAAGTGGAAACTTTCGCCTTCCAGGCAGAGATTGCTCAGTTGATGAGCTTAATCATCAACACATTCTATTCCAACAAGGAAATTTTTCTCCGGGAATTAATCTCCAATTCGTCAGATGCTTTGGACAAGATTAGATATGAATCTCTTACTGATCCTTCAAAACTTAATTCTGGAAAAGAACTTTATATCAAAATCATCCCAAACAAAAGTGAGGGAACATTAACAATCATTGATACTGGAATTGGAATGACAAAGGCTGATCTGGTCAACAATTTGGGTACTATAGCGAAATCAGGTACCAAAGCCTTCATGGAAGCCCTTCAAGCTGGAGCTGACATTTCCATGATTGGTCAGTTTGGCGTGGGTTTTTATTCTGCATATTTGGTTGCTGATAAAGTAACTGTGGTATCCAAGCACAATGATGATGAACAGTACATCTGGGAGTCCTCTGCTGGTGGAAGCTTCACAATCAGGCCAGATCACGGAGAACCACTAGGCCGTGGTACAAAAATAATATTACACATTAAGGAAGATCAAACTGAATTCCTGGAGGAACACAAAATCAAAGACATTGTTAAGAAACATTCCCAATTCATTGGTTATCCAATTAAATTACAAGTAGAGAAGGAACGTGAGAAAGAACTATCTGATGATGAAATGGAAGAAGAGAAGAAAGAAGGAGAAGAAGATAAGAAGGAAGAAGAAGACAAACCAAAAGTAGAAGACGTCGGCGAAGATGAAGAAGAAGATACAGATAAAGAAAAAAAGAAAAAAAAGAAGACAATTAAAGAGAAATATACTGAAGATGAAGAACTGAACAAAACTAAACCAATTTGGACCAGAAATCCAGATGATATCAGTCAAGAAGAATATGGAGAATTCTACAAATCTCTCACCAATGATTGGGAAGACCATTTAGCAGTTAAACACTTCAGTGTTGAAGGTCAATTAGAATTTAGAGCTCTTCTTTTTGTACCAAGACGAGCACCTTTCGATCTTTTCGAAAACAGGAAACGCAAAAACAACATCAAATTGTACGTCCGACGAGTATTTATCATGGACAACTGCGAAGAACTTATTCCCGAATATTTAAATTTCATTCGAGGAGTGGTAGACAGTGAAGATCTTCCACTTAACATCTCTCGTGAAATGCTCCAACAAAATAAGATCTTGAAAGTAATCCGTAAGAATTTGGTAAAGAAATGTCTTGAATTATTTGAGGAATTAGCTGAAGACAAAGAAAATTACAAGAAATTCTATGAACAGTTCTCAAAAAATTTAAAATTAGGAATTCACGAAGATTCTCAAAATAGATCGAAATTGGCTGACCTCCTTAGATATCACACATCTGCTAGTGGAGATGAAGCTTGTTCTCTTAAAGAGTATGTCAGCCGTATAAAACAAAACCAAAAACAAATTTACTACATTACAGGAGAGAACAAAGAACAGGTTGCAAATTCTGCATTTGTAGAGAGGGTTAAAAAGCGTGGATTTGAAGTTGTTTATATGACTGAACCTATTGATGAGTATGTTGTTCAACAATTAAAGGAATATGATGGGAAACAATTGGTATCTGTAACCAAAGAAGGACTAGAACTTCCCGAAGATGAGGAAGAGAAAAAGAAGAGAGAAGAAGCCAAAGCCAAATTCGAAGGGCTTTGTAAAGTTATGAAGTCGATCTTGGATAACAAAGTAGAAAAAGTAGTCGTTTCTAACCGTTTAGTCGAATCACCATGTTGTATTGTTACATCACAATATGGATGGACTGCAAACATGGAACGTATAATGAAAGCACAGGCCTTACGTGATACTTCGACCATGGGATATATGGCTGCAAAGAAACACTTAGAGATTAACCCAGATCATCCCATCATTGAAAATCTCCGCCAGAAAGCGGAAGCTGACAAGAACGACAAAGCAGTTAAAGACTTAGTTATTTTATTGTTTGAAACTGCTTTACTTAGTTCTGGATTTACTTTAGACGAACCCCAAGTTCACGCATCTCGCATTTATCGAATGATTAAACTGGGTCTTGGTATTGACGAAGAGGAGCCAATGATCACAGAAGAGGCGTCAGCAGCCGGAGATGTACCTGCCCCCGTAGGAGACTCTGAAGACGCGTCGAGGATGGAAGAAGTCGATTAAATCTATTACTTTTCTGTACAAATGTTAATTTATTGTTTTATATTTTTATTCAATGTTTATACCGACTGATCTAAGTTATTGTATTGGCTAGTTAATTCTTCAGTATTTATGTAGTTGTACCTATATCACAGGGCTGTGTTGCTTAAATGAAAAATGTCCGTGTTATAACAAAAAGTGAATAATGCCTTCAGTACAATAAAAATATGTATTGCACACAGTAGTTTTATTTTGTGTTAGCTTAAAAGAATTAAATTGAACGAAATATCGCACATGGAATAAAAAAAGTTGGAGTAAATACAGTTATTTTTAGTTAAGAATAAGTACACGGGTATTTTAATTTCTGTAACTAATTGGCGCTTTAGCTTTTGAAAGTTATTTTCAAAAACTAATGGAGTAATTGACAATATGGTATTTGTAAATCATAAATACTTTTATAAACAAGTTTTAAAAAATTGTTAACAAAAAGGCTAAAAAGGAAACGAATTTCTCGTTTCTGTGTGTTTTGAAGTAAAATTACAAACAGTTTAAGTATATCATACCGAAATAGTTAAATAGAATAAGTATTTATGTAGATACATGCCTTATGATTAAATAGGTACTTATCCTTCTACATTTTAAATTTTTATGAATATAACAAGAAAAAACTTTTGAAACTGGTACGAATAAAACGAGTAATTTTCTTAATTTTTATTACAATGCATTGAACTACTACGTAGAAAAGCAGCAAAACTGAAGTTGAACAGTGCATATGTTCTATTTTCTAAAATTTTCTGATCTAGTTGATATTTGAATTTCTCCTATTTACCGCAAAATTTACCGGAAACATGCAAGTAGTTGTCTTTATTTAGCCTCAACCGTTATTTAAAAATCGATAGCCTGGGGTTCCTCAGAAATTCCCGAATAATCTCGAATCTTCTAGAAGAACGGTAGATATAAAAACTGTTTAGAAGGTTGCAGAGTTTCATTGTATTACAGAGCGTGGTACGAGTAGTATCTTGTATTGAAGTGCTGTGGATTCTTGAATTTTTTATTGAATTTTCTGGAAGTTAGTCAATTTTTTAACAAAGGTATGTGTACTTAGTCATTTCATTTTTTTTTTCTTAAGTAATCTTTTAGACATTTAAAAATATTTGTACATATATTTTTGTAAAATTTAGGATTTCCTTTTTAATAATAAATAATGAAGGAAGCCAATTTAATCATCACTTTTATAGGCATACACGTAATTTATATTTATAATCTACTATTGCAGGGTTTCAAATTGATATAAATTAAAATTTTTCTTTGTTATATGCCGGCATTCTTTTAGTAATAGCATCCATTATTCTGCCTCGTGGACGAATGAGTCAAATCATTTTTATTTAGATGTTGATTTGTAATTATATGTTCGTGAAACATTTAGTAAACTATGATTAATAAATTTAAACTAAAAGGCCTTTTTAACAGTTTAATTTTAAATTGAGAAGTTACCATCACTATTACTGAAAATTACGACACACCTTTGCAATGACTTGTTTTAGTAATTATAATCTCTATATGTAGAAATACTTGCGGTATAATGTATTCTAAATTAAATGGGATATAACGCAGGTACCTCCCTTAATAAATATCAATACACAAGAAAAAAAATGGCGGGTTATATTGATTATCTTTATAAATATTTCATTAATAATAAGCAAGCAAGTGCCTGTAGACTGGACAAATTAAAAGGATTTATAAAACATAATTATTATGTATTTTATAAATAAGAAACACACATCGTAGGTACCTACCTGACAACATTTTTTTTTCTTACACATTTAGATTTCATTTAGCTTGGTTTTAATGCTGTTTAAATTACTTTTCAGATGCCTGAAGAACAAGATGTTGAAACTTTCGCCTTCCAAGCTGAAATAGCTCAGTTGATGAGCTTAATCATCAACACATTCTACTCCAACAAAGAAATTTTTCTTCGGGAATTAATCTCCAATTCATCAGATGCATTGGACAAGATAAGATATGAATCCCTTACTGATCCTTCCAAACTTAATTCTGGGAAAGAACTTTATATCAAAATCATCCCAAACAAAAGTGAAGGGACATTAACAATCATCGATACTGGAATTGGAATGACAAAAGCTGATCTTGTCAACAATTTGGGTACTATCGCGAAATCAGGTACCAAAGCCTTCATGGAAGCTCTTCAAGCTGGTGCTGACATTTCCATGATTGGTCAATTTGGCGTGGGTTTTTATTCGGCCTATTTGGTTGCTGATAAAGTAACTGTGGTATCTAAACACAATGATGATGAACAATACATCTGGGAGTCTTCTGCTGGTGGAAGCTTCACAATTAGACCAGATCATGGAGAGCCACTAGGGCGGGGTACAAAATTAGTATTACATATTAAGGAAGATCAAACTGAATTCCTGGAGGAACACAAAATCAAAGAAATTGTTAAGAAACATTCTCAATTCATTGGTTATCCAATTAAATTACAAGTAGAGAAGGAACGTGAGAAAGAATTATCTGATGATGAAATGGAAGAAGAGAAGAAAGAAGAAGAAGAAAAGAAGGAAGAAGACAAACCAAAAGTAGAAGACGTCGGCGAAGATGAAGAAGAAGATACAGATAAAGAAAAAAAGAAAAAAAAGAAGACAATTAAAGAAAAATATACTGAAGATGAAGAACTGAACAAAACTAAACCAATTTGGACCAGAAATCCAGATGATATTAGTCAAGAAGAATATGGAGAATTCTACAAATCTCTCACCAATGATTGGGAAGACCATTTAGCAGTCAAGCACTTCAGTGTTGAAGGTCAATTAGAATTTAGAGCCCTTCTTTTTGTACCGAGACGAGCACCTTTCGATCTTTTCGAAAACAGGAAACGCAAAAACAACATCAAATTGTACGTCCGGCGAGTATTTATTATGGATAACTGCGAAGAACTTATTCCCGAATATTTAAATTTCGTCCGAGGAGTGGTAGACAGTGAAGATCTTCCACTTAACATCTCTCGTGAAATGCTCCAACAAAACAAAATCTTGAAAGTAATTCGTAAGAATTTGGTAAAGAAATGTCTTGAATTATTTGAGGAATTAGCAGAAGATAAAGATAATTACAAAAAATACTATGAACAATTCTCCAAAAATTTGAAACTAGGAATCCACGAAGATACACAAAACAGAGCAAAATTGGCAGATCTGTTACGATATCATACATCTGCAAGTGGAGATGAAGCTTGCTCACTTAAAGAATATGTGAGCAGAATGAAACCAAATCAAAAACAGATCTATTACATTACTGGAGAAAGTAAAGATCAAGTTGCAAATTCTGCCTTTGTAGAGAGGGTTAAAAAGCGTGGATTTGAAGTTGTTTATATGACTGAACCAATTGATGAGTATGTTGTTCAACAACTGAAAGAATATGATGGAAAGCAGTTAGTATCTGTAACCAAAGAAGGATTAGAACTTCCTGAAGATGAGGAAGAGAAAAAGAAACGAGAAGAAGCCAAAGCCAAATTTGAAGGACTTTGCAAAGTAATGAAGTCTATCTTGGATAACAAAGTAGAAAAAGTAGTTGTTTCTAACCGATTAGTTGATTCACCATGTTGTATTGTTACATCTCAATATGGATGGACTGCAAACATGGAACGTATAATGAAAGCACAAGCTTTACGCGATACTTCAACCATGGGCTACATGGCCGCAAAGAAACATTTGGAAATTAACCCAGACCATCCCATCATTGAAAATCTCCGCCAGAAAGCTGAAGCTGACAAGAATGACAAAGCAGTTAAAGACTTAGTCATTTTGTTATTTGAAACTGCTCTACTAAGTTCTGGATTTACTTTAGATGAGCCTCAAGTTCACGCATCACGCATTTATCGAATGATTAAGCTTGGTTTGGGTATTGATGAAGAAGAGCCAATGTCAACTGAAGAAACTGCAGAGGGTGCCGATGTTCCAGTCCCAACTGAAGGGGAGTCTGAAGATGCCTCAAGGATGGAGGAAGTTGATTAAACTAAATTATCTTGTTAGTCATTACATTAATAATCCACCTTTTTTTAATGTGTTGTCTACAGTATTGCGGTACAATTTTTTTACTATTAAATCCTTGACATTCCCAATTTTCTAACACTTTTTGGAATGTGAATTGTTTTCCTTTCATTTTTTTTATAATAAACATTGTATAATAATTTTTTTGTTATTGAGTTATAGCAAAAGAATTTGTAAAGAAAAGAACATTTAATAGTTTATTTATATGCATGTTTGAAGAATTTCATGATTTTGAGCTAGTTCAGTATATATTACATCTGCGAAAAGTATGTATGTAGTTGCAAATATAAACGTTAACACTTATTTTTTTGAAAAATGTTTCTGATTAAAAGCATTGCAAGGATGCGAAAGTTTTCAACAACCGAAACATGTTTAAAGGCAATTCAAGGCTATTTGTAAATTAAAACAAAATGTTTTTTTGTTATAGTTCATTGTGGCATTCCTTTGGGGCTTTATTTTTGAATTACAATTTGAATAGCTAAGCAATTGATAGATTCAAGTCCGATTTGATCTACGAATGAGTTAGAATAATCTATGGTGAGAAAATAGAACCATAGATTGTGTGAGAACATGAGAAAAAGAAGAATGGTAGGTAAATAAATAAAGCAATACAAAGTGTATTAATTCGTTATAAAGCTAATTTTGTATTAAATAAGAATGGTGCAAGATTCATCGAGGAAAGCAAAAACATCAAAACTGGGTTAGTTATTTGAATTAAATTCGTTATCATGTTTTACGTTCAATTATAGCCTAACATAACTAATCATAAAAATGTTTTAGATACTGACCCAGATGCAATTTATAGGATTATTAACTTGCACTACTATATTTTTATATTACTAATAGTGGGTATACCAGTTTGGTGGATGACAACTCGCGTATATAGGGCTGATCTTCCACTCAAAGAAATGAATAGTATTATTTTACCTAAAACATCTGATAAACCATTTGGTATTTTATTAAGTTTAGAGTATGACATTTTAATAACAATAGTGAACCCATTGCCTCAAGATTTGAATGTTAAAATTGATGGTGAATTACTAGAATTGAATTTGAGACCATTTCTTAATAAACTCTCACCTGTGGCCGATTTTGTGGTAAAATCCCAATGGACATACTTGACAGATTTAGGCATAAAGCCACAAAAAAAAGGTGACGAATATGTAGTTAATGAAAGTCAATTATATCATATAGTAACTCCTTTAGAAAAAGAATCTTGGTCATTTATTTCAAACAGAACGTGTATTAATTTGATGTTGTACATTGCCCCCTGCAGTGCTCCTATGTATTTATATGATAACTCAAAGAATAGGCTGGAAACTAATGCTTTTGTGAGTCCAAGGTGGGGTGGTGTTTACTTTTTAAATCCAGATTCAAAATCATGCCAGAAACATGTATATGAACCTGATTATGAATCAATTATTAGAACATTTGTAAATCAGTTAATGCATTTGTATCATCTTGATGGGTTTTCTGAAAGTGCAATGAACAAATTTAAGTTCAACAAGGCCAAAGAAATGTTAGATGCTACAAAACATACTCTCAAGTCTTTAGCTCAATTATTATATGAAATAAATAGTATAGTTATAAGAGATGATGTTGCTGAGAAAGTGATAATTGCTCTGGGAAATATGACTAAAGCTGAAAAGTATTTGGAAGAAGACAACATCAGTGAAGGTTTAAAACATGCAAAAGTTGCTTTTAAGAATTCGGAATCTGCATTTGCAGATCCGTCCCTCTTGGCTCTTCTATACTTCCCTGATGATCAAAAGTAAGTGATTTTATGTTATTTTCCTATTATTACGAATGTAATTTATTTTAGGTATGCTATTTATATTCCATTATTTCTACCTATAATGATTCCAGTGTTTATGTCTCTTACACATCTAAGAAAATGGTACAAAGAACACATCCATTTTTAAATAAATTTCAACTTTGTTTAGATAAATATTTTACAGTAATTTCAACAGTACAAAGTTCATAGGATGTCCAGTTATTTTCAACAGTTTGTATAAAATGTTCTTTTCATTTTTAAAAAAGTTCGCATTTAACGAATTTATTTAATTGATATATTTAAAATATTGTGCGCAAATTCAATAAAAAACGTCAAAATAAAATTAAAATAATTTATTGAATTCCTAATATACACATACAAAATATATTTATCAAATATTAGCCGTGGGTCAATTAATATTTATTTACATAAAAGTAAATTAATATAATTTTGAATAACCTTCTAAACAAAGGTTATTTATTTGTTAAGACCTTTGCTTATAGCAACAAAATTTACATGATATAGAGTGACCTGTATTTGCTTGTAAATTTACACCAAGTCACCCTGTTATATTAGATATACATATTTAAAAAAAGATTAACTTGTAGCCGTTCATTCGTCTCATGCACAGAAAATCAAGAAACAAAGTCGTTATCTTCACTGCAACTTTCGCAATATTAATAATTATAATTTATCAATTTACGATATTGATTTATTATAAACAAACATGTCACACACTGAAGCGTTCAAATGCACTAGTTTTAAGTCACAACCGAGAAATTAATCGATTTTCACAGCAGAATAAATTTTTCGAAGAAAAGTGTAGGCTGCAAAGAAACCTATCGTTCCTGTCAGCAGCCAAAATGTTATGACTATAAGTAACGTGTAACTAATGTATAGTAATGTCGGAATAAATTCGGTAATTTCTAGTTTGTTCATAAAATAAAATAATGAATAAATTAAAATGTAAAAGGCTGAACCTCCAGACGTTATAAAACTGCGCCACCACCAGTGATAATTCTGAAAAATAAAATTATATAAGATGTTAGACAATATTAAGTAATGCATCACATCATACCCCCCGCTCCCTTTAAATTTCTAGACTTAGTGAACATTTATGAAAGTAAACTGTAATTTTTATTATGTATATATCTACATTTAAATTTTGGAAAGAGGATTTATTAGGTAATAAAATTGGAAAATTTACTAAATTTATCTGTTAATAAAAGTATAAAGACGTTTAAGTTCTACAAACTGATAAGAATGAAAATAACGTTAATTTTATATGTTAATATAATTACTGAATAAAGACCGTAGTATGAAAGTAGTGTTACTTCATAACTTACCTCTCCACAAAGCTGAAAGTAGACCATAACGATCGCTATTTGGGAACAAGAAATCACCAGGATAATAAAGACTAAGAAGAGAAACCCAAATAAGTAATAGAACTGATTTTCCCATATTGCGGTGAAGATAAAAAACAATTCTATAAAAACAGCTCCGAATGGTAACAATCCAGCCATTAGCATACTAAAATATTATTCATTTACCTTAATAAGACAACTTCATTATTACATTTAATGAGTGTACTTACCAAAGAACCGGATTCATGTACCAATGTTGATCAGGAACCTGTCTAGGAATTTGATTCGTTCTTACAGGATGTTGATATGGTTGTTTCCTGTAGCCAAAATAGTAACCCAAATAGACAAGGGGCAGTGAAATACAAAACCACATCATAATTAATGAAACCATCGTCGAAAAAGGTACCGCACCACTACTGGCCTTTCCCAAAATGAAAAAGTTTAAAAAGAAACAGGTTCCGAATATTATAGAAGGGTACAAAGTTGCCGTCAAGAAGGCTGCCCTCTTCCATTCGCGACCTTTCATTGTCTTGTAAAGTCGAGCCGAAAAATAACCCGCTATTAAACCCATAAAACAGTAGAGAAATAGGGTGGCTGTTGTAAGGGCTCCACGAGATGCGGGAGATAACATTCCTAACATAGCTAAAACTAACGGACAAAAGGATATCACAATAGAATCATAACAGAACAAATAATTCAAAAGATTAAACATTAAACATGAATCTCATTTTAGTGAAATAAAAATATGATACTGTTTTAATTTACTTACAAATAATGATAAACGTCATAAATGAAATCTGAATCCCCGACCCAATAACAGCAGCAAAAAGTCTCGTATTCCTGGGTGGTCTAAAAACATCTCCATGTACTAGCTTCCAGCCAGTTTCTTCGATAGCATCGTCGATTGAGTCATCTGCATTATACTTGGCAATGTCTCTCCTCAGAGTCCTTATAATAATCATCGTTAAAATTCCTAAATCATAAAAATGCTTACAATGCCACTTTCTTGTTAAAATTTGCGTTATTGTTACCTGACAGGAAAAAAATAACTACTAATGAATTTATAATTGAAAACCAGTGAATTTGTCCATCACTCATTGCCAAATAAGTATCCCATCTAGAAGCCCAACTGATTTGGGAATTTTCCCATTGAACTTCATAAGTAAACAGCAATGTTGTACCTGATTTTGGATCTACGGTTTGAAATCTAGGCTTATTTGGAAATGAACATGTTTTATCATTGTTCATTTTTAAATCATTTAAGCTCACTGATTTTGCCTCTACATAAAAACCCACTACTCGATAGACATTTCTGCAAAACCAACATCAATTATTGTTATTGCAGGTATATTAGGAGCATCTTAATTTTTATATGTACATACACATTAAAAATTATAACTTTTATGAGAAGAGAATATAAATATTTCAAACATTAAAATAAAAATTGTATGGTTCAATAAGATAACAATTATGGATTATGAACATAATACTTACGGACTAGGATTATGATAAAAAAGAATCAATTTTAAATGGTTATTAATGTAGGCCTGATCACTAACTACATTTCCAAGTCTGTAACCATGCTCCAACTGAACTTCATTGGTTTCAGGATTAAAAATTCTAGTGGCAGCAGGTAAATTATCAACTAGTCTAAAAAATAAGTCACCATAAGATAGCAAATTTTTGAAATCACAATGAATGCAATGGCCAATAAACTTACAGATGCACAAAATATTCATGTTGTATTCGGTCTGCAACTGTGTGTGATTCTTCTGTACTCCAGTGCATAGGTGATGCCAATGATTGGCATAAAAATGTACATGGTGTATTTACAGCCATTCTAACATCATAAGGAGTATTTACTATCCTATCTCCTCTTAAAACTTCACCTAAATTTTCTGATTTGTAGTGCACTGACCCATTTTTTGGCATGCAAAATGGAAGTGAATAATATTCATATGGTAATTGCGTATGGATACTAGTCATTTTCACCGCTTTTACGTCTATAGGATCACCTTTTTTGAATTCTACTGGGGCCATTCCTGGCACATAAAATTGTTGGGAAGGTTGAATCCATAATAACAGGAATATATATAAGAAACTAATCATTGTTCTAAAAATTATTATACAATTAAATTATAGCGTTCAACGAATGTAAAAAGGTCTTCATTCTCACCTCAAATTTAATTTTAAAGGTAAAGAAATATATAAATTAACTATTTTCACATATTCACAATAAATTCTGACATGTCCACTTGTCAACCTCTATTATTACTTTTTGTATTAGTTATTTATTCACTATTCGTTGATGACATATCAGACATGTACAGATGTCTGATTGTTTCACTTCCTAAAACGTAGGTCGTAACTATCTCTGATCGTAACTAACGCTCAAGAAAAGTAATAATTTATATACAGGGTGCCTCAAAAAAAATTATTTTTTCAAACTTGCAAAAAATTCCATGAATTAAATCATATATATCTAAATAGCTATAAACTATAATATTTTAAATGAATAATCACCAAAAAGCATGCGGAACGAATAACTACACTACTTTAGTTTTAACGCGCGCTATAAGATAGGTACATGATGTACTTCCATGAGACTTTTAAGACTTATTTAAGAAAATTTAGAAATCAACGGTGGTAACGTGTGCATGACATTTACCAAACAATTATGTAATATTTAAGACTTTTATCATTAGAATTAGATAAATAGAAGAGATTACATAGGTTCATTACAAAATTTTCTGAAATTGGCCTAGTCAAAATTGTTATAAACGTTTCCGAAATTAATTATTTAAACTTTATCCTTTATCAATCTACTTCTTGTAGGGAAAGAAATATAAAGATAGGAGACGAAGAAGTGGCTGATTTTAGGTATCTAGGAAGTTAAATAGGTCAGGACGGAAGACGTAGTAGGGATATAAAGCAGAGCAGAGTCGCCTTCAATAAAAAGAAGTCACTTCTATGCTCACAAAGGATTAATTTAGAAATTTGAAAAAGATTGTTAAAGGTGTATGTTTGGAGCGCGGCATGTACGGGTGCGAAACATGGACGGTGGGCGTGGCGGAAAAGGTTAGAAGCGTTCGAAATGTGGTGTTATAGGCGAATAATGAGGAGACCGTCGATAGAGAAGGTTAGAAATGAAGAGGTATTAGAAATAATAGGAGAACGGAGGACTCTATGGAAGTTACTAAAAAATAGGCGAGATAAGTTGGTAGGACACCTTTTCAGGCATGAAGGTCTAGTTAGGGACATATTAGAGACAGAAACAGGAGTTAAGAGGAATAGAGGTAGACCTAGATTGGATTACTGTTCGCAAATAGTTAACGATGTGGGCTGTTCTAGTTTTAGGGAAATGCGAAGTTTAGTTCACGATAGCAAAGAGTGGAGGTACGTGTCCAACTAGTCTTAGGACTGACGACCTTATGAATGAATCTATTTCTTGTATATTAAAAAAATTAAGAATTTCTTTACCCGTCAATGACGCTAATTTTGCTACAGCAAAAGCTTTATCTCCGTAAGATTTTGCCAAGTGTTGCGCGACTTCACATTCCAGACCAAAATCTTGTACTAATCTGATGTACATTGTTGGAGTCCATCCGTGAGCTCCCTCGATCAGAAGACCGTCTGTCTGGCAACCCCTTTCCGGTTTCAGGTTGCAGTCTAAAAATTTCCATTTTCATAAATCTGCTTTTTCGTATGTATTACATGTACTCAAAACTCTTACGTTTTACGGCTGCGTCAATGGTTTCTTGAGCCATTGCCCTGTAAGTTGTCCATTTTCCTCCTGCGATCGTTACCAATCCTGAGTCACTCACGTGAACGATATGATTCCTGGCTAGAGATTGAGTATCAGGTTTGTTAGGGTCTGATACAAGGGGACGAATACCACTCCATGCTGACATTACATCTCCTCTTCTAACTGCAAACAGTATTTTTGATTATTCAAAAAATTATGTTAATGTAACCTTTTCTACAAACCTTCAACGTCGGGATTCAAATAATTTTTAACTTCTTCTAAAATAAACGTAATTTCGTCTTCAGTAGGTTTCGGGTTATGAGTTACTTTGCAAGGCAAATCGGTTGTACCAGCAATTGTTTGCCTTTGCCATGGAAGGAAGAAAATCACCCTACCATCGCTAGTTTGAGGGTCAAGAAGACCCATCTGATCCGGACTGTAATAACCTGTTGTCATAAAATATGTACATATTTAAAAGGTGTATTTACTAAAACGATGAAGTTTTACACTTCTTCCCAAGTTATTTTACCATGGTCCATGGAATTCCGATTCACAAGTGCTCCATATTCCATTTTAAATTTTTATGATGTAAAAGTGCGACAGGGAGTCGCATGGTGACATGTGTTTGATGAAAATTCATCATTGAAAAAATCATTCATAATTTTGAATCTTTTTTAACCAATTTCAAATGTGGACGCGTTAAATTTCGCTCTTTTCAGTGGTTCAAGTTTATCTAAATTTGTATGGTATGTAAAACAGCGACAGGAGAGAAGAATTTCGTGGACCATGGTAGAATATCTCTGGAAAAAATTAAAACCAAACCATTGGAAATGTTCGAGAATTATTTGACATGGGTATATTTTAATTTTGATTTGATTGTAGTACACAAAAATTTTCGTACTTATTTAATTTGAAAAGTTGATTTCGGAAGAATTTTTTTATCTTTTAATGAAGTTATTAAGAAAATGAATGAAGATAATATACTCTGCGACCAATTGGTATTTAATAAATACCTGGCAATACTATATGAACACCGCTGCTAGGACAGCAGATCTCTTTTATTGTAGGATTATCCATTTTTCTAATACTATCTGTAAAAGGTCCAGTTGCATTTATAACACACTTGGTAGGTACACGCCACTCTTTTCCGGTTATTTCGTCTCGTACATTGACACCAGTTATCACTTCCTTACCGGAACCATTTTTATCTTTAATTAAGCTAGTTACCGTTACATGGTTTACCACCGTGGCTCCGTGACGAGCTGCGGTTAAAGCAATTGCTAGGTTCATTCTAGCATCATCCTGTTGACCTAATCGTCGATGCAAATAAGAACATAAACAAAATTGATGTTTTCTTGATTTAAAACAGTTCATTTTTTGACGTACCATCGTAATATACAATAGCTCCAACAAGTTTGTCACCTCGCAGCATGGGAAAAAGTTCTAAAGCATTCTTCTTCGATAAATAATAGGACCCTTTTACTGTTTTTGATCCTGCTACAACGTCATACATTTTTATACCAAACCAAAAATAAGGAATTTGCCACCATCTAAAAATTTTTTAAATTTATTGCAATTCAGAAAAGATGAATATGAAAATGGATAGTGCCAAAGCCCAAACAATTAGGATAAAGCCGATCCGAATGTTAAGCTTATAATTAGCACAAATATGAGATCTCGTATAAATCCAAATCTTTTATTTCATTGCGTCTCCCCACAATTTAGTAAATTTGATTATATATTATTGATTAATAGGTTTGCTTTCCTACCACGTACTAAACATATAAAAGAAATATGTATTAGTATAACTTTAATGATTTTAGACCTTTTATCAGTTATTTTCAATTAAGAACGATATCGTTAGTATAGTAACTTGGGCCCCTCTGTAAGTCCTTCATTTTTACATCTACCAAAGTTAGTTACACTTTTTCTTGCTAATTCAGGTAGAGTTAAATAAAGACATACCATATACTCATACTCACTGGTACACTGGAAGCATTATGGGAAGCGGATGTGCTAAATGAGGTGCCGAATTTAACATGTTAGCTCGTTCGTGTAGGGCCTCCTTTACCATCTTGTATTGCTCATAATCTAGTTGCATGATAGCCTTTTGCAAATACCGAACACCACCATGGATAAGTTTCGTGCTCCTGCTGGAGGTGCCACTCGCAAAATCATCGGCTTCGATTAAAGCAGTCCTTAATCCTCTTGTTACCGAGTCTAAGGCACATCCTGCACCAGTGGCACCTCCACCAATTATTACAACATCAAAACTTTGATTTTGCAATGATGTAATTTGTTCGCTACGTGGAGGTAGGGGACGTTTTGTCTTTTTGATTGCTTGTTGTGCTTTAACTGTTTTCCACTAGAGAATAATAAATATTATACTTAGCAATTGCAGCATTTTTTTTATTTAAAATTTAATTTGAGTTTTCTCAAGTTTATGTAATTAGATTTGCCAATTCATAAAATGTTCCATAAGTTGCTAATTTTACCAAATTATTGACAAAACTTATTGTAATATAACTAAGAAAATAGAACTGACAGAGGAAATTTGCAAACGAGTTCAATTCTGTAAGGAATAGAGCATAGAAGTCAATTATAAAACTAGGAAATGATATTGACCCTTTATTCAATTGAATATGGAGTCAATATTAGGGTAATAAAACTTTTATCGATCGTGAGTCTAAAATCTAATAAAAATTTTATTACCCGATTAGTTCCGATTTTAACATTCATAAGCTTAATGATATACAGGATTTATGGGTTCTTTCTATGCACGATTAAAATTGTAGTTTTGCTTCTATTATCACTACTTTCTTAACTGTTTAAGCCCGAATAAGTTTAAAATTTTACGGTTTCCCGCCATTAAGTTACGATATCTAAAAATGATGAGGTTTCAATTTTCAGCCCTACTTGTGTACTTCTCTTTACTTTAAAATTCGGCCTGTATTTTTGATGTTTTCCTAATTTAACTTCGAAATCAGTTTTATTTTCAATTTTTATCGTAAACTTAAAAATGGGAACTCAAAAATTAATTGTAAAAAATTTTTTACATACTCTGAAATCGCTTTCTTCTTTGAGAAGGTAATAAGCGGCAAGACCAGCTCCAAGAGTCCCTGTTACTCCTGTGATGGCGAATTTTTTGAAGATAGTAGCCATCTTTGGCACTTTCTTAAATTACCAGCTGCTGTGCTCTGGTATAACTAGACGAAATAAAATTCGCATTTATCACATTGCAAACTTTTGCCTTCACTTTCGCTCATTCTTATCCTTATTTTACTACGTGATAATGCTGATATAAAAAATTTTATTATGTGCACACACATTTTATGGAAACGTTTTACTCAAAACAAAATTAGATAAGCTTGTACAGAGTTTCTTACGATAATGGTTATGTAATAGGCGATAACTTAGTTAATTGAGAATATTCTTTTTTATATTGAGAAACTTTGCATTTTACATTTTGAGGTATTTCAAATTCGCTATATTTTAGAAAAATACAGTATCACAGGGTCAACAGAAATTATGTTAAGCACTGCCATAAAACAAAATTATAGAATTTAAGACGTACATGTGTTGTAGAAATCTTATAATAGGATGACATTAATTCGCGGTCACCAGACTAATATCAGTTTTGCACAACACACATATATATACGTTTTAACTTTTGTAATTTTGTCGTAACACAGTATTTAACGTAATTTCTGTTAGATACCCTGAGCAGCTATGTATGTATACAACAAGAGGACATGTTGACAAGAAATAATTTTTTATTCTGCACTATTAATTTTTGATGATAGTAGATAACGGATTTAATAAAAAAAATACAAAATTCGAAATATCTCAAACGATTGCAAAGAAATACGTCATCTTATCAGTTACCCTGTAAGTAATTGTTAAACAATTTCTGTCAAGTTTCCACATACCAAAAACTAGGCTATAAGTATTTTCTGATATTTTTAGAGTAGAACAATGATTCTAAAAAATTGCCTGTGTAACTTCTTTCTTATGTTTCTAAAAGAATCTTAAAGTATTTTAGTAGTTAAATTATTTATTTTTAATTAATCTAACAGCGCATATCGAAATTATCTTCAAATACATCCAATAGAAAACATACTAAGGTTTATTCGTATTATACAATAAAGTTTAGGTTTATTTATACTGATTTTAAGAATTAATAAATATATAGCGTATATATTACGTACTGAAAACTTTTTGATGATAAAAAATACATTTTCAAATAGAGAAATTGCAAATTATCTGAAACACTCATTGTGTACTTCTTAGTGGGTATATTTATCATTTAGTCTAAATTTCGACAATGGCGTAGTAAGTTGATTCCTAATATTAACATTAAATTAAAGAAGGAAGGTTCAGTACGTTAGTAAATAAATAAGACTTCAATAATAAACAAAAAAATAAATGTACCTTATTTGGCTTAATTATTTATATTACAACACTAATTTTCTGTAATACATTGTTTAATCATAAGTTTATAAATATATTGTAATTGAACTCAGCGATAAGTTTGTCTTTTCTGAACAACATTCATTAGGTTACTTAGGTTACGCTGGTTACTTTTTGATAAAAATAACGATATGTAATTAATATATATTTTTTTTTTGATTTAAAGTCCATGACTATAAAAGTTACAATTTCAGCTTTACATTTATGATTAACAACAAGAATTATGTATTTTTCAATAAATTTTGACTAACCGATTTACATTTCAAGAAACAAAAATTTTCTTATTTAATGTGAACCACTTTAAAAAGCGATAATTGAAATCAATTTTGCTAATGTATCTAGTACAATTTATACACCATTGTATAACAAACTAGCGTTACCGGCATTTTACTTGCTTGCAATAATATAATTTAGATAAATTAAAACAATAAAATGAGCCTAGCGTTATTATGTTATAAAATATTGCATGATTATGGAATAAGTAAATAGATAACTCCAGAATTTGAAATCCATAAAATAGTATCGGAAAAACGAAAAACAGAAAAGATTAGATATTTTTGTCACTGATTTGATTAATACAATTACATTTATTTTTAACTTCTTGGTATAGTTTCGGGTATGCGATATTTTGGCATCAACGGTTTCATGTGTAGGTCATCGAAATTAGTTCATCTTGTACAGGATATATCAACGATTTGAAAAGGAAACAATTAAAAAAGTTATATCCCAAGGGTGATACCGTTTAAATTTGAAAAAAATAATCATTCTCAAATGGAGGAAAATTAATTAAATTATCAGCCAGATCTTTTTAACATTTTAGTCAGTCAGTTATTTTGTCTAAAGTATTGAAGTCGGTTTTTATATGTCAGTATATTTAAGTTATTGAATGTACACGATAAGTTTCAGTAATAATTCAGTTACATTTCAATGTGACGAAAACGATGAGGTCTATTCTATTTATGTAAAAATTACTTAAGTAAAACACGTGTTCGTGTGTATTGGAATGATAAATATATTCGTCACTAATTTACCTTACGTTTACTTATCCTATCTGTAACGAGTACAATAGGTACGTCATCAACGACGACCTAAATTTCCCGTGATAAAAACGAGTCAACGCATAGGGTATTGATTCAGCGCGAAAATTCGTCGAGAAGATGGAATTAATTTATTAAACGTCCTACAATAACACAAAAACGGAAGCAATACTGTTGTAGGTGGAGGTCTAACAATTACTAAATTAATTTATTAATACGCACATGAATTAAAAACGAATCAGAAGAAAATCCTTTTTAGTTGCCTACTTGCCTTTTAAAACAGCACAAATAATAACGTCCTTGTACACGAACACATGGGTCTTTTTAGCACTGCAACTTTATTAAAATTATTCTAAAATAGCAATTCCACAATATAATAATAATAATAATCAACACGCATTAACCATTATATCCAAGTTTCATGGTCAAATTTAATTATTTTCTGGGTTACGTACATTTCGCGTAAGTTATTCGCGTCCAACGTAGCGCATGTCTAGTCAGTCGTCTGTGACAAAAATTACGCAAAACGTAGTTATTTAGTTGTAGATTACGCAAACAAAAGTAAAAATATTTCTTAATAAGAGAGTGATTTAGTAAAAAGGCTTACCACGACTTTGAGAGCTGATCTTATCACATTGATTAGTCGTCACATGAAGGAATAAATTGGCCTGAGATCAAACATTTGTTACTTATTTTGCAATGTACCTACCTATCTGCTGCACCGCTTAAAATACCAATTATAAATATAATCAACCTTCTGCAGCTGTTATTCAGGTACTTATATATAATGGTTTAGTTAAATCGTTTTTGTATTCACTAGTCTGAAGCGGTTTTTTTATTCCTTAAGTAGCGATTTCGTAAATTGTTTCTTCCTAATCTGCTAGGTACTTTTTTTTATTTAGCGTTCGATGGATGAGTCTTAATTACACAATCAATTTTTAACAAAACTAGAAATGCCATAAACAGTCTTATTTATTATAATTATAATTATTAATTCAAACGAATGAGCCACATATACCCACCGAGGTAACTAAGTACTTACACAAACGATATGAATGTTTTGATATTAAGGTCAATAATTGTCTACAGTAATGATTAGCTTTGAATAATAAGACAATATTTTTTAATACTTAAAACATTCCATGTTGTCTTATTTTTGTAATAACCTAATGACCAATGAAAATTTATAAGATACTTGATATTACCCGCGGTTTCTCTCGCGTTAATGCTCTAAAAACTTGTCATAGATCGTGGACGACCACATAAAAGTAATTTTTCTATCCCTCGAGAATAGCATTTTTTCTTCTGGATAAAAGGACACTCCTATGTCCTTTTCTGTACTCATGATGATTGAACGAGTAGTTAAGCCGTGAAATCGGCAACATAAAACTAATTTGCCTATCCTTAGGGAACATTTTCTTTTTCTGAATGAAAGGTACCCTACTTCCTTTTCTGTATCTCTGATAATGCGTCTATAAAATTTCATAATGATCGATTGAGTAGTTAATCGGTAATCAATGATAAAAAACTCAAATTGTAATCTTGACGAATTATATCCTTTGAACCATAAATATTTTCATCACAGAACAATTTTTTTGGTGAAACTTGTAGCCAAGACTTCTTAAAAATCCATAAAAAATAGTGAATGAACAAAATACTTAAATTAAGAGGTAAAAGTATATATGCAATAATTTACATGTATGTTTTCGGAGCACCCTGTATATCTTTCACAGTTGTCTATCTTAATTACAAAATAACAAAATGAGCCTTATTTGGAGTAATGTAATACTTTCTTCGCATATCCTAACTAGTATGAATGGCAATGGAAGTTTGTTTTATTGCTACCATTTCAGGCCTCAATTACTTCACCGATCATTTATCAGTTATTGTTTCAGTACTTATACTACATGTTGTCGATTTGTTCACATTGATGAATATTATACATTTAATATGTAATTAACAAAACAAAACACCATTATGCACACTTTTTATCAAATACTTATATAAAACATTTTTTTACTAAAGAAATCAGAATTTTTTGTTTGTTTCTATTTTTTAAAGTGCATACATGAATAAAACAACATTTTTCCAACGAATAGAACTGAACATTTATTTCTATAATCGAAGATTTAGTGTTAGCGATATACAGTGGCTCAATATAATCAATAAGCTGTTCATTTTATGCGATGTTTCTGTTATCTAAAGTTCACACTATCGGATGTCTGCTGTAATTAGGGTGTCTAAGGATCTATTTAAACAATGCCATTCATAAAGAATTAATTTTAAATTTGCATACTCTTTACCCCTTTCATAAGAATATTGTTTCCTTAAATATCTTTTTATGTGGTTTTAAGAATATTAACCCTGGGTTAGCAAAATACCTTAAACTAGTTTTTGGCATCACATCCTTTAATACAAATGAAGTAAAACGCCTAATGCTACGGCAAATATTTCGCCAGGGAAGTTTTAAATCGAAGAAAGATCTATACAAAAGTTATTGGGTTCTTAAGAGTTGGAACTAATTTTGTGGTCCGGCTCACTAGGGGTATTCTAACGCAATTGTTTTGTTGGATAGAAATCTATACTTTTTTTGCAGAATCTTGTTCTAATACGGAAAAAAAAAGACTTTCAAATATCATCTGAAAAGTTTTTTAACATTCAGTCCGGGTTCTATTCCTGGCCGATGCAATACTATTCTTTCTATTTATGTTGGATAAAATAAATAATAGTCGAATATCGACCACATGTGATGTGATACTATTTTAATTAAAACACAAAAATGGCATTCATATATTATATTTTCTTTTTTTTTAATAAATGATTTAACACCCATAAAATCTCTTATAGAAGTAAAAAAAAATCAACTACTATTTCTAATTTGTGCATGAGCTTTTGCCATAATCTCTACAGCACCTTTCCCCATTAAATTAAGGGCTAACCGTTTACCCAAAGCCAATGCTTCATTTAATGCTTTTTTTGGAATATCTGGATGAGGTACCAATCCAACGTACAAATTGCCTTCGCCACTTCCTGTAGATGTACTTTCTTCGTCATTACTGTTATTTTTTAATCCCTTTTCTTTAAAAAAGGGACAATTTTTTATAAGTTGGTTACAATTTTCAATATCAGCGCAAATGTTGCGATCATTGTTATACAATTCCAAAAATGGACATTTTCCCATGAAATCAGCACCAATAGGTATTTCTACTGGGCAATTTTCATGAGGGTCTTCAACTGAAATGCTGATTAAATCATTTTGTTTAATATCTTTATCTTTAATTTCAATTTTTAGCTTCTTTGCTGGAATAAGGTCTTCTGTAGAATCAGATTTTTCATCAATTGTATTCTTGATTACACTCTTGGTGATGGAATTCATTTTTACATTACTATCTGTTTGATCTTTTGATATATCCTTCCTGGAATTAATTGAAACCAATTCATCTTTTATCATTTTACTGCATCCTCCACGGTTCTCGTTATCATTTACTTGGTCTTTTGGTGTGTCATTTACAGGGCACTTAATTGGAACTAGCTCATCTATAATGGTTTTGCTGCAACCCTGACGATTCCTATAATTATAAGAACATCTAGCGCATTTTGAAATGTTAGTCGTTTCTGTAGACTCCTTATTCATTTCTATTGAGGCGTTATCATCTTCTTTAAGCTGTTCAACACCATCTAATGACCATACAGCTCCTGTTAAGTTTAAGTTGATCTTGTGACAATTTAATTTCTTTAGTTGCGATTCGACAGCAACCGGAGCGCTACAACCTCCCTCTAAAGTCTTCAGGAAGCTTCTTTCAGCAATTACACAAAGTGCTGTCTCTACGTCGTAAAGAGGCTTAAGTAGATTTAAAATTTCTTCATTATCAGCTCTGCATTCTATACCCAACGCACCTTGACCCACTGCATACAATAATTCGTTAGTATCGAGAACCTAAAAATTTAATTGATCAGTAATTAACTTCTGACAATGTTATTTCTATACAAAATTCGTAGGACAAAAATTAAAATGCCAATCTCTTGGGTACTTAATACTTAATTTTTTTTTAATTTATATAGGACTACTTCCTTACTTTCGAAATTCGCCTGTCCCAACCCATCCTAATTAAACCTGCAGTTGCTAAAATTAAAGCTTGAAAAATCCCTTGTTGGTCTAATTTGCGTAGCCTAGTATTTAAATTTCCTCTAATGCTTTTTACTATAAGATCAGGATATTTTCTAGCAAGTTGAGCTGTTCTTCTTAAACTTGATGTGCCAATGACACTTCCCTTAGGCAATGTATGTAATGAATGCTCTTTAAAGTTTTGATGAAGAACCAATGCATCCCTGGGATCTTCCCTATAAAACATATGGATGGTAATGCTAGCATATTTTAGAAAGTCATAAAGTAACATGAGATACCTAGTTAAAACAGCCCCAATAGCCATTTCATCTGGTAAAACAGTAGGAAGATCCTTTAAAGAATGAACAACAAAATCAACAGTACCAATTGAAAGGGCAGTTTCGAGCTCTTTTGTAAATAATGCTTTCTCGCCAATTTTTGGCAACGGAATGTCGAGTACATTATCACCTAGTGTACTCATAGTAACTAAAATTACAATTATTTAGCTTAATTATTTAAAAAAAAAATGATTATGTAATATACCTATTTCAAAGTTGTACGTAGGATGTATTTCTTTTAAAAGTGAAATAACGTGGTTCGTTTGGATTAAGGCAAGCTGAAAAGAGAAATTATTTTAATATTTATGTATATAAAAGACATAAATTTACCTCACTCTTTCGGGAGCCTACTTTTATTACTCTATCACCAGACATTTTATTTAAATTTGAATCACAAGTTTTACTGTATTCCTGATCCATTAAAGTAAGGTTCTTTTTTCAACTTTAATTCAAAGTGTGTTCAAATTCACTTTCACAACCAAGTACACCATTTTAATTGACTGAGACCCACTTTCTATCATTAATATCATATTACTGAAATGCACATTTGTTAGTATGAAAATTAATATTGTTTTAAAAACTATTTCAGCATGACTTGCAATTGAACTTAATAATTAACATATTCTAATTATCACGAATTGGTACACGTTTTAAAATTTTTCAATTGGTCTGATATTGCTTATGACGTTTGTGGTTATGTATCTGTCACATTCTTGCTATTGTTTGTTTTTTCTGGCTTCTGGGTTCCTGTTTTCCCTGGATAGTTATGGTATAGATAATTTGATAATAACTGCATCAATATATGTGGACATGTAAATTATTTGCGGTTAAATATTTACGATAATCCAAAAAGGATACACATGTCACTCACATAAATATAAACAGAATACTAAATTTTTTAATTTTATAATTGTTTTGTTGTACACACCTACTAATACACAGTATATAGCTTCAAAAGTTTTTAAAGTTTTATTAGTTTTTGTCTTATTAAAAACATTTTACATTTTCTAAAACGAAAATAAACTATATCATTAATACAATTATGTCCTTAATCCTGGTGCTTTCCTATAAATAGTAAATTGTTCTAAATATTGATGAATTGTATCAATTGGAGAATAAATGTCCTGCATTCTATTTTGAAGATATAATGGTGGTGCACTTTGAGCTGTTGATCCTAAAAATCCTTGTAAGAATTCTCTCATTAATTCCCAACACATTGCTGGTACTACACAAGGTCTGTATTCTACTTCCACTAGGACTCCTTTAAAGTTTTGACTTACAGTAACTGTGCCCAATTTAACTAAAAAATCTCCGATTTCATAACGCGGCCCTTTAGATTCTGCCTTGGTTTGCTTTTTTGAAGTGTAGAAATTGGCCATCTTTATCATTAATAAATCAAATAAGCCATCTGTTGCTAGAGGAATAGTTTTATTTTCTGTCTCTAATATAGAAAATACTGTGGCTGGTTGTTCAGAATTATGAAGAATATGAACGGTTCGTGGATTACCAAGCTGGGGAACAGATGTATACGTTTCACAATCCACTAAAAAATGTCCTTGTTGAATCGCCCCTAAAGCCGATATTCTCTTTGTAAGAAGTTCGATAGTAGACGGACCAGTTCTGTTTTCCGTAATAGGAAAGTTTTGTACTACTGTAACCCCCATTTCTACAAATCTTTTATACGTTATACATAGTATTTTGCTTATTTGATAAATGTACAAAGTTGAGGCATTTGCAGGTTAACAGCAAAAATATTCAAGGCCAAATATAACTATACATGTACTCCATAGATAATAGATGTACTCCCAGTACTGTTTCCATAGATTAACTACTCCATAGTCCATAGGTGTACTAGTAGTTCATGTTTTTAAAATTTTAGTATCCATTTCATTTATATTAATTAAAATATTAACTTGATTTTTAATTTAATTAGTATTCATGCTAGTAAATATTTCAATGCAGATAGTGTTGAAATTTCACAGAAATTGTATGAAGTGTATCTATTATCTATGGCTAATAATTAAACTTAACCTATAAAAATATAAAATTAACCTTAATGTTACAGTGCAAATGTGGTGTCGTATGAATATAAGTTAGTTAATTTTTATGTTTTAGAAGTTTCATAAGAGTAAGTAATTATTATTGAGGTTATTTAATTGATTTATAATTATACAATTCATTTTTAGACAATGAGTACATCACTTGCAGAACAACTGCAAAGGCTTGCGGTTCCTCAAACGTCTGCAATTATTAGAGGTAAAAAGCGCGCTTCTTTATTATTTGACCCTTCAGAAGCTGCAAATCTAAATAGAGAAACTGTATATCAAATTGGCATTGATGGTTTTGAAGAACTTAAAAATAAAAATGCGGCTTTTGTTCAGTTTGAATCTACCCTATTTCATCCTGCTTCAAAAGACTTTGAACGTTCAGTTCAAAATGCTGATACCAATAAAAGACTGGATAAGAATATTAGGAAGTTTTTGATACTTTTGTCTCCATATTTTCTCTTAAATAGTTCACACAAAGCACTGGAGTGGCTTATATATCGTTATCACATACATGAATACAACAAAGAGGATATACTAATGTTGATACTTCCATATCATGAAACAAACATATTTGTTAGAGTTTTACAATTACTTAAACTCAAAGAATCTAATGACAAATGGCGTTGGCTACGTCCACTGCAAAAACGTGGGATACATCTTACCAAACAATCACTTTTTAATCATGCAGGAAGTGACCCTCATTTTATAAAGTTTTTATCTGATTTTGTTCTGACTGCAGTGGCTGTTCATGAAAAGCCTTCCAGTTTGATCACAATTTTTAACTTTTATTGCATTGTATTCACTGGAGCTATTGAATATACTAAAATTTTACAAGAAACTCATATTTCATTTATGTTGCCAGTCTTACTGAAAGGAATATCCTCACAGGTATCAGATTTTTTGGCTGCATCTCTTATTATCTTAGCCAGATTGGCTGCAAAGACAATTCTGTCAGAAAAGATCTTAACTCTGATTGTGAGAAAACTGACAAAAATTGAAATTTTGAGGAATGAAGTGGTCTTGACATTAGTAATTATTTATCAAAAACAAACTCATTATAAGGAGGTTTCCATGGGTGCTTTGGAACATGTGATTCATAAGAAGTGGTTTCCAAAAACCTTACAAGAGTTTAATGATCTTGGTTATAACATCACCCCTTTGTTATTACCACTTCTTCAGGCATCAATAAGGGAATTTTTGTTCAATGATGATAAAGAACAGTGCATTGTTTTTGTGGATAGCATTCTTTCTGAAATTAAAATGGATGAGCAATTAATCAAAGAGTCAATTGGGTAAGATATAACATTCATAATATGCAAAAGGTTTTTAATGAGCTTCTTATTGTACTATGATGATTTGTTTCATGTGCTTTTTCAATAATTAATAACGGTTTACATTTTAGAATTATCTTCGAGTTATGCAACAGTAAGTTTAAATACTCAGAAAAAATAAAGGATTGGATAAAGAAATATGTTAAGACTTTAGAGAGACAGTACCCATATGACTATGATAATGTCATAAAGGAATTAATGACCAATTCAACAAAATTCTCCACAAAACAACATAAAGGATTTCGTAAGATTATGAAAATTGCAATGGAAGACTCTTATGACTTCTTTGAAAAACTTTATCATCCTGATCCTCACACAAGAATCGAAGCAATTAAGCATTTAGTAAATAATAATAATCTTGAAAATAGAGAAAAAAATCTTATAGGAAGCCTGATTATTGATAGACTTAAAGATGAAGATGTTGGTGTTGTATATGAAACATTGCAATCATTTAAGGATACATTACCAGACATCATTGGTGTAAACAATTTTAGAGATATAATGTTCAAGTTGCTCATTAAATGTCAAAAAGAAAAGGATGTTTGGTGGAAAATATCTTCAATTATTTTTGATGTATTTTCTCAACACAGCAATACTTCTGATTTGGAAGCATTATTGGTAATTTTACCATTTCTTTTACCTGCTGAAAGTGATGAAGTAAAAATTGCAAAGGAAATTGTTTGTTCAGAATATGGAAGAAAATTGAGTTTTATTAGTCCATTTATTAAAGAATTTTCCAAAGCAGAAAGTTACGAGATGTTTTCAGAAATTACAATGAAGGCTCTTGGTTCGTGGGGCGCTTCTATGGATATAAACACAATAATTCATGCATTAAATGAATTTCCTTCAGAATACAGAGATGCTTTACACAAATATATCGCATCATTAGTGATAAGTTACACTCTACAAGAAAATACCGCTCCTGATATAAGTTGCTTATTAATAGAAATATTTCAAAATTATTTGAACACCTCTGAAATTCATGTCAGCAAGGAAAAGTTGAAATTTACTGACCATATAATGTTGGCTAGGGAGAATAACCTTTCATTAGAAGCATTTTTATTTTGCATTGAGCAAGTAATTTCTAAAACTGAAAAACCTGCAAAGAAGCTTGGATGGGTAGACTTTATGGAAAATGTGGAAGATAATGTATTCTATTTGAAATTATTTAAAATTTTACTGGAGGGCAATGGTTCAAATCACAAAGGCATTAGTTCTACTTACAAAAATACATTGAATGTTTTTGTAAATCATATATGTGGCAATATTTTGTTAAAAACTGAATTTTATTTAAATGTTTCAGTTTGTTACAACGAACAAATTGAGGAACACTTTCAAGTGATGTGTTTGAAAGCAATTAAGGGTTTTTTAGGAAAAACCACTCAGCAATTAAATGAGTTGATTACCTTTGATTCACTTGTTGTGCCTTATCTTATGGTCGCCTTGAGTAAAACTAATTCAGAAATTCGTGAATTAACTTTTAGAATAATAAAATTAATATTAGAAAAGACGTCAAGGGGAAACACTAGCAGTTTTTTACAATTTTTAAATCATATTCTTACTGGAGAGGAAGAAATATTAATGGACAGTGAACAACTTCCTTTAATAGTGTACAATATTTTCTCAGAAAATAATAGCCAGAGCTTACAAGAAGTGCTAGATGTTCTATTCACAATTTCCAGCTCTCCTCTGTATCCAGTATACTTATCTTCTGGTATCTTGAAACTTCTCGCTTTCATTAACGATTTCAACAGATTTAGTAAAACTTCAGAATTAGCAATGGAAATTTTTGTTGGTTCAAATAAAAGGAACTACAATTTTCCCGAATCAGAAATAATTTATAGGAATATTCTTCGGTTTGACGCAACAGTTTCTGAACATGTCACTCTAACTTCAAAGCCTTGGCAAATGATAACTTTACTCATTAGAAACGACCAAACTAATATCGCATTAGGGAAGACAAAGAATACATCACCTGCAGTACTCTTGTTGAATCAAATAGACGAAACAATTTTTGAAAAGTTAAACAGTGACGTGAAAAAAGCACTTCTATCGTCCATAATCAAACTCAAAACTTTTTCTCAAAATCCTGAAGTTTTACAGTCTGCAAGTCGAACTTTTAAAAGAATACATCTTGATGCGAGTATTATACTCGACTTTCTAGTGAAAATGAAAGACACAACATCCCCTAAATTAAATGAAAGTAAGAAAAAGAGACGAATAAGTATCATCCCTACTGTTGACATTCTGGATACTTTTGAATGGAAAGAAGGCATCACAGTGCTCGAAATACTTCAAGAGAAAAAAAAACTTACTAATTATATTCATTTACTTCCAGTTTTGTTTGAATTATTAAAGAAATGCCTTGATTTTGATGAGCAGTCAAATGTAGAATATGCAAAGCAATTGATACTGTCGACCATCCTTCATTTGTGTAGTAAAAGTGAGACAGAGGCAGAAAAAATGCCTGAAAATGTGTTTAACATGGAGCTAGTTGTTCAGTGCATAAGAGCGTCCCAAAACCCTCAGACTCATCATCACGCTCTTTTGCTTCTTTCGTACGCGGCATCTGTGGTTCCTGATCAGGTTCTTCATCATATAATTGCCGTTTTCACTTTTATGGGATCGTCTGTTCTGAGACACGATGATGCTTACAGCTTTCAAATAATATCAAAAATAATTGATACCATTGTTCCATTACTGATTGCCGATAACTCTCAGGAATGTATTGCGAAAGTTTTGCGCGTTTTTGTCGACGCCATTCTTGATATTCCGGAACATCGTAGAATGCCTTTATTTAAACAGTTACTATCTCGACTTGACACCAAAAGTAGTCTTTACGTGCTATTACTTCTAATTTTCGAAGCCCATGTTCTTCACGGTCATTCAGAAAAATCTAAACCTAAAGGAAATAGATTATTAACGGAAGCTGGTAACATTCAAAAACGTTTAGATATTGCCATGCATATATGTGGACTATTCTCTCCTGAAATCCTTCTATCTACATGTATAAAATTATTGGAATATCTCCGGAAACAACCTGACGACAAAGAAGAGGCCATGGAATCTGACGTTGAAAGTTGTACTTTTGATATAAACCGTTATAGTGCGAAACAGTTTCGACATTACAAATACACTTTGGTTGTTTTTGTATCAAATCTTTTATCTTCTCGTGAATTTGTCGAAAAAGTTGCTTCATTACCTGACGATGATCTTTTAAAACTAGAAGATCTTTATAAGACCGCAATTGTTAATATTTTAACATACATTCAACACACAATGAAAGTTGCAGAGAAAAATGTTAATTCTCCTCAAGCCCAGTATTGGAAGGTCATGTTACACCACTGTTATGATATTCTTGATAGTTTGAATGCTCTTTTGACTCCTCAAATGTTCCTTTTAGTGATAAGAGGTTTAATGGAGCATACTATATCGGTGTTACGAAGAAGAGCTTTAGAATTATTGAACACAAAGCTGCAAAATAATATAGAATTCTTTAGCGAGTGTGATGAGTCAGAATTACAAGCAGTAATACCACCGTTACTTAATATAATCAAATTAATCGAAGATGATGACAAAATAGAGCCTGATATTGAACTTTTAATTCAAACTGCATTATTGTCATTGAAACTTTTGGTGCGCCTCTTAGCACCTAAAAACCCAGAAAAGTTTTTGTACATTTTAGGCTTTGTCACAGATTTAGTGAAAGCTAGGAAGGCACAGGATAATGTACTCGCGTCTATCGTATTGTGTCTTGCAGAATTATGCGCAAACCTTCGAGCACATACGATATCTAGTTTGAATAAATTTATGCCGGCTCTAATCAAGATTTTAAAAACACAGAAAACTAAAGAAATGCCAACATTACTACTCCTGAGTGTACTTACAGCGCTTCAAAAGATTTTAGATAGTTTACCTCTTTTTCTGAGCCCTTATTTGGAAAAACTTTTATGCGCAGTTTCATCATTAGCTTGCAGCTGGAATGCAGAAACGAAGAATGAGAAATTGACCCCGTTTATAAACAAAATAACGAGCATAACTCATAAAATAGGAACTGCGATTCCTTCTCGGGTTCTTATCCCAGCTGTAGAAAGCTCTTACAATAATTTGATAAATAAAAGTGACTATAAGGCAGTTCAACCTTTGATGAACGTCTTTTCCGAAAATATAAGCCAGCTTAAAGGAATTGATTTACAGGCGCACATACAAGAACTTATTTCGTTCTTCTTAAATTCATTACAGTTTAGAGCAAACGTGGAAATTAATTATTCTGATGCTAATGAAGTCGAAGGTTATCTCGTAAAAGCGTTAATCACGTTAATATTGAAACTATCAGAGTCATCATTTAGGCCCTTTTATTACAAGTTGTATGACTGGGCTGTTCGTACAGACGCTAAAACTGAACGTGTTATCACGTTCTACCATCTCTCTTATGAAATTGCTAATTCATTAAAGGGTTTATTCGTGCTTTTTGCTGGCCATTTCTTGAACAACGCCGCCAATCTTTTGGATGCTTGTAATGTGATAAAACAAAAAGAATTGTACTTTGAGAATGAGGAACAAAATGTTTTACTTGTGGAGAACATATTAAAGACTTTAAATGCCGTTTTTTTGTACGACACTCAAAGATTCGTGAATAAGGAGAGGTATGACGTTTTGATGCAACCAATTGTAGACCAATTGGAAAATACTCTTGGAGGTGTGGATTCTTTGGAAAAAAGGGCCCAGAACCTTTTGAGTCCTTGCATTGTAAATTTTGTCGTAGCCGTAGGAGATGATGCTTTGTGGAAGCAAGTGAACTACCAAATAATGTTAAAAACTAGGCACAGTGACTGGAAAGTGCGTTTGGCAGCATTGGACTGTTTGCTTCAAATAGTAAGAAAAGTTGGTGAAGATTTCCTGCCACTGTTACCAGAAACTATTCCATTCTTAGCCGAACTTTTGGAAGATGATGAAGAAAATGTTGAAAAGACTTGCAGAAGAACTGTTCAAGAAATAGAAAAAATTGTTGGGGAACCATTGCAGAAATATTTTTAAAATTTGTAAATGTAATTATTTCTTATAAGCCTAAACTAAAATGCCTCAAATAAAGAGCAAGTTATTTTTAAAAAATGTTTTTCTTTTGTTTATTTATAAAGCATACATTCAATGGATTTATTATCACTGCCTGAGATGTATTGTTATGTGAATTTAAATAGTAAAAGTAGTTATAAAAAAATTATCAACTTGATATGCTAGGCTCTGGAGGTTGAAGACTTATCACAATTGATAGGTAAAGTTCCCAATTCTTCTTCAGAATATTCTGACTCCTTCCTGATAGACAAAAGACAATTATTACAATATTTAACTAAAAAAAATGTATATCCAACTTAGGTACCTCTTTTTGTATCTGTAGATCATAAATAGGACTACACTGTTTAAAACAAGTAACAAAATAATTATCATTGTGGGTATCACAATTTCTGAAAAGAAAAAATTCATATATAAAAAATGTATGCTGGAATGAAGCATATATGGGTACCTGAAATAGTAGCTCTTTCAGTCATTGTTCTCTTAGTTGTATATAGATCACTTGAAATTAAATTGACAGTTTCAGCTTCAACTACAGTTGCATCTGAAATATTACAACATAATTTACTTAAATTTAGCAAAACGATTATAATGCAGCTGGGATATTAATTAAGTGGTTGAAGGTTAATATTTGCCTTATGAGCCAATATAAATTTCTTCATGTTTAGCAATCACAAAAAAAATATAGGATGTTATACCAAAACTTTCTTAAAATCATTGAAGTTATCATTACTGCTTTGTGACTACAATCAAATATTTAAAGGATTTTGTTTTCTTTAACCTCCAATGTATATTATTTTATGTATTTACATGTAATAAAAACCAACTTACTTACAAAATAGTTCAAAAATTGATGGTAAAACTTATCTTGCTAAGTTTGAGCGAGTAAAATATACAATTACGGTCAGTATGAAGTAATACACCGAAATAATTAACAATAATTGATACTAATTGACATACGTTAATAACAAAAACACGTGCTACCAATTACACATGCGCATTTTAACTATTAAATTGTGTTTATAATATTGAACTATATAAAAACATAGCTTGCACGTGTAGAACCACGTAGAACTATAACAAATACAGGAACACATTTCTGTCCTTTTTCGTATAAGAACAATAAATTCATAATTTTTGTTTTTAACTATTCCAGTAATAAAAACAATCTAAGGAATATGATTAGCTAATAAAAAACGAATACAGGTATATTGAAAAGATATGAATTAACAAAGTAATTTATGAAAGTAAGAATATTCTTTCTGATATCGTTTAAATTAATTAATATTTTATTCAAATTGACGTATTAATAAAATGTAATAAAACTCACTGTCGCAGTCAGGCAGTGGAATGTTACTGTCCCATTTGTTTTCAATGCATTTTATAAATTTGGTTCTCAAATGGGTATCGGGAAATGCAAAGTCGATATCGCAACTAAATTCAGCTGTTGAGTCGTTCCTTCCAAGAAAATGTGAATTTTTTGGTGTGAAGGGTGTAGCACAACCGACTGCAGTGTAGTGAAAAAGTACACCCCTCCTGGGAAGTAATTCTTCGTTAGAAGATGGTTTCAAAAGAATTTCAATTTCATTTCCTGCTGAAAGCACCTCTACGAACGATTCTTCTTGTAAACACGATGATAATAAAACGTGTTTTGATTCTTTTATTTGAAAAATATCAGAACAGTTTTCCGGCCCGTACCCTATCAAAAGAAAAACGTTAGTTTATATCGTGTTTTATCAGAATTGCCATGCCTTTTTTGAGGTATGTTTCCTACAAATATTTTCGATTCTTACCAAGCAGTGAGATGTCCAGAATAGTAATTTTTATTTTTTGCCATGGCAAGGCTTTGATTGTCCAGTGGCATGTTTCTATGCCTAAATAAAATCGGGGATATCCTGGATTATGTACCAAGCCTTCTAAAATTGCTTGATTTCTTGACCAAGACAGTGTTAAATTTTGGTTACAATGTTTTGTTAGTTTAGGTTCTAAAAACAAAATTATTTTCTACGATTAGTTTCGTATACTAGAAAGTTCATTTATAAATTTTTTTTTATTTAACAAATTTTGATTTTACCATCAAAAAAGTCGAATGAAAAAAATTTCAAATTTTCTATTCTATTGTTTAGTTTTACCAAAATTTAAG